GAGAAGGCTAGAGAGGACCCTGTATTAGGAACTGGAATTAGAAATAGTGTTTTACTCATAGTTTAAGACAAAGAGAGAGAAAGAGACTGAGCTTTGTTTACCGAAAGGGCTTAGGGGCAAGGACATTCCATAGTGATTTGCAAACCAACCATCAAGTCTTAGTTTCCAGATAAGTACCCTTCTTCACTGAAAGTTATCTAAGGCTCCTTGGAGAAATGGGTGATGCCAGAGCTGAGGCAGAAGAGAAAAGTACAAGATGAGCCTGAAACATCATTTTTGCCAGAAAAAGAGAAAATGTTTAGAGGATGTTGGGAATATATGACAATGAGACAGAATGAGCTTGAAGGGACCAAAATGGCCAAATTTGGGACAACCTAAGTATTAACATATAATTATAGAAATTACATCCCATGGAAATAATAGACTCTGAATAGATAAATAAATGGGGGAGAAGAGAATGCTTTTCTTCTTAGTAGAAGGCCAATTAGTAAATGTAAAGAAAAGGATGGTAATAGAAATCACCATTTGGCAACAAGCTCAGTGTTGGTTAATCAGTGCAGGGTTCATCAAAGGATGAGAAAGTTGGAGAGTGGAGATCTGATGGTGGGCAGAGGATTGACAGTTTCAGGGCATTGCTCCAAAGACACCAACCAAATACAATAGAAAACCTGGCAGACATGAATGGCCCAGTTGTCCAGGTTAACAGCTTCCAGTTTAGGACAGGCAGCTCTAGCACACTTCCTGCCTCCATGCGCCGAGAAAAGCACAGCTTCACTTCTGAGATGTTCCTGCCAAGAGTTTGAGGCCCACGTCTGGTGATGAGACCCAGGGTGAGGGGGTCTCTCCAGAGTCCCTGTGGAACAAAGGATTGAGGAACTCTTCCACATTGGAGAAAACAGAAGAAATATGACAGCAATGTATGCTCCTGGACTGGGGGACATAGATATTGCTGGGTCAGTCAGATGGAGTTTGTGGGTTGCCCAGTGACATCAGGGATATGAGCTGAATGATGGTGTCAGGGGTGTGGATTGTGTGGTGGTATCAGAATAACACTGACTTCCCAATTTACATGGCTGTAGTGGAACTTGGC